GATGCGTCTCCCCCGTTGAGACGCACGGCGTGCGAGAGACGGAACATCTTCCCGGCGTGTCTTACTCAGCGTGGAGTAGACACATACACGAGAGAGCTGGCTGAGCGCTGCTGGGGTGGGGGAAGGGGCACATCTGCTCCCTGCTGGCCCTCCACATATTGCTGCTTTAACTGTTTCCTCTACCCCCAGACTGCAACATTGTAGCAAGGTGAGAGGCTACAGCCAGGGGCTGATTTGTGTCAGACAATTGTGAACACAGCCAAGAACTGCGCAGCACCAGGATTTAAATACAGTCGCTGTGTCACCTATGAGCTGCTGTCTCAGTCCAGGATGTAGATGGTGATCCTGGATGATGCCCTGAACAAAGATGGTGCCGTCCTTTTGTAGAGAAAAGAAGATGAAGGCATTGTTAGGGGAAGTACTGTGATCTCTGTGAGAAGCAATAAATACATGGAAGTGTTACAAAGATACATTACTCAGCATTTATTTATTTCAGGTACTTGTTATAGCGCCATCAATGTACGCAGCGCTTTACATTTACATTTTACTTTCAGTCCCCGCCCCCGAGGAGCGTACAATCTAAGGTCCCTAACTCACATTCATACATACACATACTAGGGACAATTTAGACAGGAGCCAATTTACCTACCAGCATGTCTTTGGATTGTGGGAGGAAACTGGAGTACGCAGAGGAAACCCACACAGGCACAGGGGGGAGGACATGCAAACTCCAGGCATAATGTATCTGATGACAGGTCTTCGGTATGGGTCAGGGTTTGGTGTGATCCAGGGGTGGACTGATCACTCAGGTTCTCAGGCACTGCCCAAGGGCCCGGGGTCAGTAGGGGGCCCCTGGAACCTTTCATAGGCTTTTTTAGGTGTGGATTGAGTGTGTGCGAGGACACAGGGGCCCCATGATCCCCTACTGCCCCGGGGGCCCCATGAGTTGTCAGTCCGCCCCTGGTGTAATCACATAATCAGTTGTAGGAAATAGCTTCAAACATCAGTGCATTCCATCTGAGGAAGCTGCAGGGGATGCCAGCGACTTGGCCTCCACCTCTGAGGACATGTGGAGCAGGGGCGGACTGACCATTCCGGGGCCAGTAGGGGGCCTCATGAGATGCCCCTGGTACCTTTTATAGGCTTTTTTGGGTTTGGTTTGAGCGTGGGCAAGGACACAGGGGCCCCATAATTCCTATTGCCCGGGGGCCCCATGAGTTGCCAGTCCGCCCCTGACGTAGAGAGTTCATTCTAGGAAGAGGGGGAGCGCAAGTCACAAGTGAGGCTGATATATATATTTCCATAGAGCTGTATTGATTCTCTCTCTGCGTTTTGTTATCCCCGACGGGTGTCATTTATCACAGACACCACGGTGTCACCGACATTCAGGTCTGCACTGGAATCTGCACCTTCTCCTTTATAGGATCCAAAAATGGGATTGTATATTGATTATTTTTTTATGGTGTTTAGACTGTTTTATTCAAATGTGCTGTAAAAATTCCTTCCTGACTGCTACAGTATATGTGTGTATATAACATAAACCAATATCTATTCATTGACCAAAAAAATAAAAAAAAATAAACACATTTTCTAATTTCATTAAACCAAAAAGGCTACAAATAAAAATTCGGCAAAAAATTTTTTTAAAAACAACTTTCTTCAAATATGAAAGAAAAGAAAAAAAAGGAACACAAATTAAAAAAAGATAGACATGCAAAAAAATGATCAAAAACAATACGGCCAAACAAAAATGAAAACTACATTAAAAACACACAAAAACTTGTGTTTTTTAGTGTTTTGGAAACAGTTTTTTTTTGGCATTTTTTTTCTTTTTCATTTTCTTTGTTGCTTTTTTGTTTTAAAGACATATTGTAATTTATGTATTTATTTATTGATTGATTTATGTTTGCTGACCTTTTCTTTTTTGTTCTTTATAAATTGTCCTTTCTTGTGTAATACATTTCATGTTTTGTTTTGTTTTTTGTAAATCAATAGCTATTAGTTTTTGGGGTTTTTTTGTGTCATCCTTTGGATTATCCCTAATGGGGGCATATTTTTCTAATGAAAATTGATCTTTGAACACTCCATTTTTTTAAAATATTTTCTTTTTTGAATATTGTTTTTATGAATATCTATTTTGTTTTTATTGTTGACTATTGCTTTTATAAATATGCATATTTATTGTTATAATTATCCCTTTATAATTTTTCTATTTAAGAGATACACTATATATATATAGTATTGGGTGGCCGGCCTTTCCACGCACATGACCTTTAATGGCCCCCCAGTCTTGGTCCGTAGGGTTCAATATTGAGTTGGCCCCGCCCTTTCCACACACATGACCTTTAATGGCCCCCCAGTCTTGTCCGTAGGGTTCAATATTGAGTTGGCCCCGCCCTTTCCACACACATGACCTTTAATGCCCCCCCAGTCTTAGTCCGTAGGGTTAAATATTGAGTTGGCCCCGCCCTTTGCAGCTATAACAGCTTCAACTCTTCTGGGAAGGCCGTCCACAAGGTTTAGGAGGGTGTCTATGGGAAGGTTGGACCATTCTTCCAGAAGCACATTTGTCAGGTCAGGCACTGATGTCGGGGGAGGAGGCCTGGCTCGCAGTCTCCTCTCTAATTCATCCCAAAGGTGTTCTATGGGGTTGAGGTCAGGACTCTGTGCAGGACAGTCAAGTTCCTCCACCCCAAACTGGCTCCTCCATGTCTTTATGGACCTTGCTTTGTGCACTGGTGGGCAGTCATGTTGGAACAGGAAGGGGCCATCCCCAAACTCCTCCCACAAAGTTGGGAGCATGAAATTGTCCAAAATGTCTTGGTATGCTTACGCCTTAAGAGTTCCCTTCAATGGAACTAGGGGGCCAAGTCCAACCCCTGAAAAACAACCCCACACCATAATCCCCCCTCCACCAAACTTTACACTTGGCACAATGCAGTCAGGCAAGTACCGTTCTCCTGGCCACCACCAAACCCAGACATGTCCATTGGATTGCCAGACAGAGAAGCGTGATTGGTCACTCCAGAGAACACGTCTCCTCTGCTCTAGAGTCCAGTGGCGGCGTGCTTTACACCACGGCATCCGACGCTTTGCATTGCACTTGGTGATGGAAGGCTTGGATGTAGCTGCTCGGCCATGGAAACCCATTCCATGAAGCTCTCTACGCACTGTTGTTGGGCTCATCTGAAGGCCACACCAAGTTTGGAGGTCTTTAGCTATTGACTCTGCAGACAGTTGGCGACTTCTGCGCACTGTGCGCTTCAGCATGCGCTGACCCCTCCCTGTCATGTGACGTGGCCTACCACTTGGTGGCTGAGTGGCTGTTGTTCCCAGTTGCTTCCACTTTGTTATAATGTATATATATATATATATATTGTATACAGTCCGGGGGAGGGGTGGGCTCATTCTGGGAGATACTGTATACTATATATATTGTATACAGTGGGGGTGAGGGGTATTCACTGTATACTGTATAGCATGTAATCTTAGTATTATCAGAAGTTTATATTCTCTATAATGTCCAAGGCAAAGTATAAGTCCATCGATCATAAGTGACCCATAGTAATGCAGGCCATACACGGGTCGAATTCCGAATGAATTTTCTTTAGAAAATCAGAAATTCTGTGTGTTTTGTCACCTGATGGAGCCACCATTCATTTCGAAATTCGACCAACCAAGCCTTTTAGGCCGGCCACACACGGGTCAACTTCCAAAACAATTTTCATTCGAATTTCGCACCATTAGTGGGGCCACAGCAATGGCCGATTTTCAAGCGATCATCGAATTTGAGTGATCGGGCATGTTGGAAATTTTTTGAAAAATGAATGAATTTCTAATCAATGATGGGAGAATTGTGCAAGAAATGTAATCGAAAAAGAAATGAGCCGCGACCTGGAAAGAAAAGAAAATTCTCGGCCACGTAAATTCTTTTCTGTAGCAACATGAAAGGCTCGGTTGGTCGAATTTCGAAATCAAGGGTGGAGCCATCGGGTTACAAAATGCACAAAATTTCTGATTTTCTAAAGGAAATTTGTTTGTAATTTGCCCCGTGTATGGCTGTTGTCCTGATCTGTCCATCAGTGCAGGCAGTGATGTCAGAGGCCAGTGTGGGCAGACAGGACGATCGTGTTGATAGTAGGAGAGGGATTATATCAGACAAGTGCGGATAGATCGTGCGTTGATGCTTCTCACACTTACTGCTACCGTGTTGAAAGGTTTTCCACAGTTTGACCTCTCTTTGCCCCCCCCCCCCCTTGTGCTGTGGCTCCTTAGGCCGTATGTTTGGCATCCCATCAATTCAAGTGGTTTCTGCACTCTTCATGCCTCCATATCAGGTATAATAACCTGCATCCAGCTGGTAAAAATCACTCGAACCTCCGGGAGTAATACGACCTCCCCAGTGTCATTTGACTTTCCTCACATGCCTAGTATGGAGACCTCGTCAGGTGTGATGACGTCATTGTGTTGACATGTTTCATCCGCCAATTATGGCGGACTTCTTCAGAACCAGCAAAAAAAAAAAAAAAAAAAAAAAAAAAAAAAAAAAAAAAAAAAAAAGAAGAACCAGCTTCCTCTTGACAATGCCATCATCTGCTTCTCTCTCCAGAAGGGCGCCGCCATCTTTGTACAGTCATCATCCAGGTTCACCATCTACTCATGGACTGAGATGCTGGCTCAGAGATGGCACAGTCATGTCAATACTGGCTGTCTTCACAAGTGTCTGACACAGCTCAGCCCCTGGCTGCAGCTTCTCAATGTTGCAATGTGATCTCTGGGAGATGTATTCATGCAGACTAGTAGAGTTACTGGAAGATCCACTTAAACCGCTTCCCAACCACCCTATAGCAGAAATACTGCTACAGGGTGGCACGGGTGTATATGCATTTCTGGGCAGCAGGGGGCGCAGGCCATTTGCAGCCACGGCTGTCAATCACCAGGTCCCTGCTGGTGATTACTCACCGGCACCTGTTGATTACCTCTTGGATGGGGAGGAGGACTGTTTTTGTTTACTAACAGTTCTCTTCCCTGTCAGATCGGGCACACTGCACAGCACAGCCATCCAGAGCAGTGTGATTACAGTAAAGCAGGGGCGGACTGACCATTCGAGCACTCGGGCACTGCCCGAGGGCCTGGGGTCAGTAGGGGGCCCCATGAGATGCCCCTGGTACCTTTCATTAGCTTTTTCATAGGCTTTTTTGAGTGTGGGCGAGGACACAGGGGCCCCATGATCCCCTATTGCCCAGGGGCCCCATGAGTTGTCAGTCCACCCCTGCAGTAAAGCACACTGACACCACGCAACCCTGTAAAAACACTCCCAGCACACAGTTAACGCTTTGATTGCCCCAGATGTTAACCCCTTCCTGCCCAGTGGCATTAGTACAGTGTTTTTAGCACTGATCACTGTATTGGTGTCACTGGGGATGTCAGTGACACCAAGTCAGTTCCCCCCAGTGTCAGAATGCATGCTGCAGTCCTGCTATAAGTCGCTAGTCACCGCCATTACTAGTAAAAATGAAAAAAAAAAAACAATCTCAGTAACTATATACCGCCATTTGTAGACTTTATAAACTTTCACATAAACCAATTAATTTACACGTATTGGGATTTTTTTTTTAGCAAAGACATGGAGCAGAATACTTTTTGGCCTAAATTTTATTTTTTACATTTTTTTACTGGATATGTTTTATAGCAAAAAGTAAAAAAAAAAATGTTCAAAATTGTCGGTCTTTTTTTTGTTTATAGCGCAAAAAATAAAAAACCGCACAGGTGATCAAATACCACTGAAACAAAACTCTATTTGCGGGAAAAAAAGGACTTAAATTTCATTTGGGTGCAGCGTTGCACAACCGTGCAATTGTTAGTTAAAGAACGCAAAAAATGGCCTTGTCAGGGGGGGGGGGGGAAATCATCAGGAGGGGGAGGAGTTAAACTGAATGGTTTTCCTCTGAATTTTTATAGAGAGATATAATGGGCTCAAACTCCATCTTCAGTTTATTTTTTGCCTTTCCCATCTACATTCCGCCACTCTTGTGAACAAAGGAAATGATTCTTGAAGCAGGCCACAGACGGGTCGAAAACCAGACGTTTCTTAAAAAAACAAAAAACGAAAAATCGGCCGACGTTACCACCAACGGTAAAAAAAATTTGGCTGATTTTTGCCCCGTCTATGGCCAGCATTTAACCCCATAATTACTTCTGTCCCTCAGAATTCCAGTCCGCTATCATATTTTATATGAAAAGTATTGCAGTTGCAACAAATGTATCCATTTCTATCCAATATCCATTTCGGATACAGGTGTTTTTTATTTGGATACAAATGGATACATTTGTTGCAACCGCAATACTTTTCATATAAAATATAATAGCGGACTGGAATTCTTCTTCTTCTGATTTTTCTTCTTCTTCTGCTTTTTCTTCTTCTGCTTTTTCTCTCTTTTTCTACCTTTTCTTCTTCTCTTTTTCTTCTTCTTTTCATTCTGCTTTTTTTCTTCTTTTCTCCTTCTGCTTTTTTTCTTCTTCTTTTCTTTTTTTTCTTCTTTTCTTCTGCTTTTTTTTCTTTTCTTCTTCTTTTGCTTTTCTTTTTCTTCTTCTTCTTCTTCTGCTTTTCTTCCTCTTTTCTTCTTCTGCTTTTTTCTTCCTCTTCTTTTTTCTACTTCTTCTGCTTTTTCTTCTTCTTTTTATTCTGCTTTTTTTCTTCTTTTTCTCTCCTTCTTGCTTTTTTTCTTCCTCTTCTTCTGCTTTTTCTTTCCTCTTCTTCTTGCTTTTTCTTCTTCTTCTTCTGCTTTTCTTCTTTTTTTCTTCTTTCTGCTTTTTCCCCTTCTTTTTCTTCTTCTTCTGCTTTTTTCTTCTTCTTTTTCTCTTTGTCTTCGTCTTCTCTTCTTCTTCTTCGTCTTCTCTTTCGTCTTCGTCTTCTTCTTCTTCTCGTCTTCTTCGTCTTCTTCTTTTTTTCTTCTCTCTTCTTCTTTTCTTTCGTTTCTTCTCTTCTTCCTTCGTCTTCTTTCGTCTTCGTCTTCTTCGTCTTCTTCTCTTCGTCTTCTTTTCTTCTTTTTCTTCTTCTTCTTTTTCTTCTTTCTTCTCATGCACAGATTTTTTAATCGGTAAAACGATCGGCCTTTCGATTTGCCCATCATTGCTGAAAAATCATCCGATCGTCAAAATCGGCCATTAATTTTCCAACATGCCTGTTAACAAAAAATGTGCAAAAGGCCCCGAAAAAAGAAAAAATGGAAGAAAAATATCCAATTAACCCACTATTGGTGAGAAAATTCGGCCGATTTTCGACCTGTCTATGGCCGGCATAACACTTTATGTTGCAGACACATGGGGCAGGCTGTTACCGACCACAGCACCCCCCCCTGGTAATGACACGATAGGTGTAATTTATAAAGGGATCGCCATGACCCGTGTTCACAGATTCAGAATCAATAACCAATCCCGTCCCTTCTTCTACTGCAAAAATTCAATTTTCAGATGGGAGCGCCAGAGCGGAGCCTGCAGGAAACACTCTTAGTCCGTCTGTGGGGGAGGGGGGGGTTAGAGAGCGTAATATATTTGCGTCTGCCTGTCCTTCACACCGGCTGCGTCGGGGAACGCTGATAAAACAGTACAACATGTTGCATTCCTGCGCCGGGCATTCTGACGTGCTGCAGCATATTGCAGAGGCGCATAACAGTTACGGCTGCATTCACATTTGAGCGATTTGGAGGCGCATGAAAATACGCTAACATGCTCGTCGTACTTGCGGTGCCATTATTCCAAACACGGACGGCGGTTGCGTGTTTTTCTTTTTTTGGTGTGTTTGTCCTAGGACAGGCAGCCCATTCACGTCAGTGCGCTTTTTTCATACCAAATATGTGGTGCGACCCAAAATGACTCAACCGTGAACGCAGCCTTCCATGCAGCTGTGAACAATAACAAAAAACAAAAGCTGTAGTGCCTTTTAACACCCCAGTGCAGAGCACACCTACCCTACACCTACCCTACACCTACCCTACACTACCCTTAGGCGCCATCTACACGTGCGCGACTTGTCATGTGACTTTGGAGATGTAAAGTCGCATGGCAAGTCACAGTCAATTGTTTTTCAATGGTACCCGTTTGGATCTTTCAGATGAAAGTTTGAAAATGTTCCTGCGCTACTTTAATGAGACTTTGAAGCAACTTAGTGGCGGAGAGTGTAAAGTCAGATGAAAGTCGCAATCAAAGTCACACTCCAAAGTTGCACTGGAGTCGCACAAGTGTGAATAGAGCCTTAGGCTCCATTCACACTTATGCAGGTGCAACATTTCGCGTGTATTACATTATCTATAATAAAGATAAGTAAAATCACGAGCAGGGATGGTGGAAACTCCTCATAATGGGCACAGCGGGTGTACAGACCGGGGAACTCAGCACAGGGATGGCGGGAACCCCCCATAATAGGCACAGCGGGTGTACAGACCTGGGAACTCAGCACAGGGATGATGGGAACCCCTCATAATGGGCACAGCGGGTGTCAGACCTGGGAACTCAGCACAGGGATGATGGGAACCCCTCATAATGGGCACCACTCATAATGGGCACAGCGGGTGTACAGACCCAGGAACTCAGCACAGGGATGGTGGGAACCCCTTGTTTTAATTCAGGCACAGCGGGTGTACAGACCTGGGAACTCAGCACAGGGATGATGGAAACCCCTCATAATGGGCACAGCGGGTGTACAGACCTGGGAACTCAGCACAGGGATGATTCGGGAACCCCTCATAATGGGCACCACTCATTTTGGGCACAGCGGGTGTTTACAACCTGGGAACTCAGCACAGGGATGGTGGGAACCCCTCATTTTTGGGCACAGCGGGCGTACAGACACCTGGGAACTCAGCACAGGGATGGTGGGAACCCCTCATAAGGGCACAGCGGGCGTACAGAACCGGGAACTCAGCACAGGGATGGTGAGAACCCCCCATAATAGGCACAGCAGGTGTACAGACCCGGGAACTCAGCACAGGGATGATGGGAACCCCTCATAATGGGCACAGCGGGTGTACAGACCTGGGAACTCAGCACAGGGATGGTGAGAACCCCCCATAATAGGCACAGCAGGTGTACAGACCCGGGAACTCAGCACAGGGATGGTGGGAACCCCTCATAATGGGCACAGCGGGTGTACAGACCTGGGAACTCAGCACAGGGATGGTGGGAACTCCTCATAATGGGCACAGCAGCGGCGTACACCCTGGGAACTTAGCACAGGGATGGCGGGGGGAACCCCCCATAATAGGCACAGCAGGTGTACAGACTGGGAAACTCAGCACAGGGATGGTGGAAACCCCTCATAATGGGCACAGCGGGTGTACAGACCTGGGAACTCAGCACAGGGATGGTGGAAACCCCGCATAAAGGGCACAGCGGGTTTACAGCTACAGACCCGGGAACTCAGCACAGGGATGGTGGAAACCCCTCATAATGGGCACAGCGGTTGTACAGACCCGGGAACTCAGCACAGGGATGGTGGAAACCCCTCATAATGGGCACAGCGGGCGTACAGACCGGGAACTCAGCACAGGGATGGTGGAAACCCCTCATAATGGGCACAGAGGGTGTACAGACCCGGGAACTCAGCACAGGGATGGTGGGAACCCCTCATAATGGGCACAGCGTGGTGTACAGACCCGGGAACTCAGCACAGGGATGGTGGGATCCCCTCATAATGGGCACAGCAGGTGTACAGACCTGGGAACTCAGCACAGGGATGGTGGGAACCCCTCATAATGGGCACAGAGGGTGTACAGACCTGGGAACACCCGGGTAGACGCTGTGTAGCGCTCAGCTTTAGCTGCAGTGCAGCTGGAGGAGGAAGTTTGGAGAAACTGGGTTTTTTCTATGGTTTCCTCTGTCCCCCTGGAGCAGTGATCCGCTTGGATGAGCTGGTTTCAGGTGACCCTGGTGGCCATCTTGGGCCACGCAGTATCTTTTTAGGTCCCTGGCCCTGCTCTTGCAAGTGGCTTGTGTTGGGACAGAATACTCGTCTATCAGGGACAGCACTAGTGGTAGGGAGAGCCTCCAGTGGAGTAGGGAGAGTAGGACCTGTGTCTACCTCTTCAAGAAGGCCCCCTTCAGCCAAGCCACACTCCACCCCTTGTGAAGGACGCTGTCTGCAGCCTGGATCTACACACCGCTGACTTTGCTCAGAAATGTTGTAAGTGACCCCATGGGGGGAGCCTCCCCGCCAGGCCTGTTTGTACTATTTTTGACAAGTTCTGTGATACATTGTTGTTTGGCAAACCAGGACCCCACCATGCTGCACCTAACCAACAACTGACAGGGGGTACGTCTCTCCAGCATCCACCACTCAGATCTCAGTTCTGGGGGGGACTGACCGGTTTCAGAGGACTGTGAACATCCTGTACTTCTATTACAGACATATGGATGAAATCTCTCACGGGGAATGTTTTTAGTCGTCTTTTCCTAGTGCTGGACCCCGTCTATGGCGTACGGCCAGCTGACAGCCGCGGTTACAGGGAAGCCGGCAGCCTATCTGGGCGCTGAGCCTCCAACTGTTTGCAAACCACAGTTAGCAGATCGCCGCGTGCCAAAACCCCAGACAGGCTCTCCAAACCCTGAGAATGGGGCTTCTTCCTGGCAGTGTGTGGTGCCAGCCTTCCGCTAGACGGGCCCAGAGGGGGGCCTGCTGGAGAGCGCTTCTAATCTGTGCTCCGGGCAAACAGTTCCGGGTAATTAGAGAGAACCGCAATGGACGGGAAAAATGGCAGTAAAATCTTGGCAGACGTGATCTGAAGACAATCGGGTAATGGCTGATGTGACGTTAAATCGTAATTCTAAAAAAATTTTTTTTCTTATGTTTTTTTTTTCTTTTTTCTTATCTTTCTTTTTCCTTACTTCTTTCCGTCCTTCTCTCTCCCGTTCCTTCCTTCCTACCCTCCTAATGGGGATGTGGCGTTACATCATAATTCTACAAACATCAAAATTGTTTTTTCTATTTCTTTCTTCCTTCCTTTCTCTTTGTTTACTACCCTCCTTTCTTTCTTCCCCCTTTAATTCTTTCTTCCTTCCTTCCTTCCTTTGTCTTTCTTTCCTTTTTTTTTCCTTTCTTTTTCTTTCTTTCTTTCTTTTTTTCTTTCTTTTTCTTTCTTTCCTTCTTCCTCTTTCTTTCTTCCTCCTTTCCTTCCTCTTCTTTTACTTCCTCCTTTTTTCCCTTTCTTTCTTTCTTCCTCTTTTTTTCCTTCCTTTCTTTCTTTCTTTTTCTTTCTTTCCTTCCTTCCTCTTTGTTTATTGTCCTCTTTTCTTTTTCCCTTTAATTATTTCTTTCTTTCTTTCTTCCTTCCTCTTTCTTTCTTTCCTTTTTTTCCATCTCCTACCTTTCTTTCTTTCTTTCTTGCCCTCCTCATTTCCTGGATGGAAGAGATCCAGCTTCCTTCCTTTTCTTTCTTCCTTCTTCCCTTCCGTCCTTTGTTCCTTTCTCCCTTTCCTTCCTACACTCCTAATGGCTGATGTGACATCAAATCAATCTTTTTTTTTTTTCTTTCTTTCTTTTTTCCCTCTCTCCCTTTAACCCCTTCTTTCTTTCATTGCTTAACCTCGGTTCACACTATGAACTGCATGTGAATCACACAGGGACAACACCTCATTCCTGTTCAATTCACATGCAGTTCAGTGCGTTATGAAACTCATGCATGCAGCAATTGTAAAACCGCACTACACCCGGATCACACACGGCTGTTTTGTACCCTGCGATCTGTGTTTTCGATGTGCATTTGGGGTGTCATTAGGATTGCACTGACATCCGCTGCAGATTGCAAGTGCAGTGTGATTGGAATGTGGGTACCTTTCTTCCTTCTTTAATTCATTCTTTCCTACCCTACTATCTTCTCTCTTTCTTTCTTTCTTTCTTTCTTTCTTTAGAGCCCTCCTCATTTCTTGGATGGAAGAAATCCAGCTTCCTTCCTTCCTTTTTTTTTCTTCCTACTTCCCTTTCATCCTTTCTCCCTTTCCTTCCTACCCTCCTAATGGGTGATGTGACATTAAATCAATCTTTCTTTCTTTTTCTTACTATCTTCCTTTCTTTCCTTCCTTCCTCTTTTTTTCCTACCTTTCTTTTTCTTTCTTTCTTTCCTTCCTCTTTGTTTACTGCCCTCTTTTCTTCCCCCTTTAATTCTTTCTTTCTTCCTCCTCTTTCTTTCCTTTTTTCCTACCTTTCTTTCTTTCCTTTCTTTCTTTCTTTCTTTCTTTCTTTTTCTTTTCTTTCTTTCTTTCCATTCTTTTTTTTCCTCTCTTTTTTTTTTCCCCTTTAACCCCTTCTGTCTTTCATTGCTTAACCTCGGTTCACACTATGAACTGCATGTGAATCACACAGGAACAACACCTCATTCCTGTTCAATTCACATGCAGTTCAGTGCGTTATGAAACTCATGCATGCAGCAATTGTAAAACCGCACTACACCCGGATCACACGGCTGTTTTGTACCCTGCGATCTGTGTTTTCGATGTGCATTTGGGGTGTCATTAGGATTGCACTGACATCCGCTGCAGATTGCAAGTGCAGTGTGATTGGAATGCGGTGCGGAAGATGTGTACAGATTGTGGAGTTTCCCGCACTGCATTGGCATGAACCTCGGCTAATTACCCTGAATATCATTGCACACCGTGTATTAGAAACATCAGTAAGTCGCAGAGATCCCTCCTCATTTCCTGGCTGGAGGGCTGGTTCACACCAGAACACCGCGCAGGACATCTGTATTCTGTGCGCATTTCCTGCGTCGTGTTTAAAATGCACTCCATTAGTGATCTGCAGTGGGTGTCAGTAATAAGTTAATGACACCCCAAACACCAGAGGCAAAGCAATGCGTGAGTCCACACCGGATTGGATGGTGCATAAATACCATGTGATTCAGTTGCAGTATGTATCCAAATGTAGTGCATACAGTGCGATTTTAGTGCATTCAAAATGAATGGGCTGAAATCGCACTGCATAGAACTGCATGTGAATCGCACAGAAACTGCACAGCACACCTGTCACATGCAGTTTCTAGTGTGAACTGGCCCAGAAGATGTCCAGTATCATCTAGCTCTTTCCTCCCCAGCCTGACTGTCCCTGGCTCCGCCCCTTTCATTCATTCATTAGATTTCAGTTCTTTCAATCATGAAGGCTCAGCATCACATGTGGGAGTTACCTAGGGTGGTCTGTATGCAAATACAACCAGACTAGGAACGCCCATTCCTCCAGACTGACATCAAGGCATTTTTAAATTTGCATAACTCCTCCCAAAAGCCAACCCACTGCTTGTATCAGGGCTGACAGTTGTTGAGAGGAGCACTGAGGCAGGGGGCTGTGATCTTTTCAGGAACCTATGTACAGCACCCTGCCCTGCCCGGGCCCCTCCCACCAGCCATGAACTGGCTGCATTGCATAGAGAAGCACAGAGACCCAGTGATGACTTTACTAAGCCTAAATTAAAGTAAAAATAATGAAAATGGACAATTTTATGGAAAATTTCATTAGCATGTTGATGAGGGGGGAGGGTGATGGGAACCACAGAAAGGCAAGTCGTTTCCATGCCATTGTGTGGCTGGGTGACTCCCGGTGAGTTTGGTTTCCTGTGTCAGTCCCCTGCCTATCAGTCCCTTGTCACACAGCTGTCTGGGGTCACACAGGGGACCGATGCCGCTCTCATCGCTTAATCCCCAATTCTTCTGTCTGCTTTGCGGACATTAAACCCACAGCAGGTATTACCCATAAATCCCTGGTGGACACACACTAAATCCACTAAGCCTGTTAGCGACACAGATCCTGCGGCGTCCAGCCGGACCATGGAGCCCAGCGCCGCAGGAATCTGGATATAGGTTAGTGTAGTGAAATGTGAGCGTGTCTACGATGAGGCTTAAAGGACATCCCCGACTGGGAGGCTGAACACGCAGATGAATGCCGTACAGTATATAGTGCTTTTTTTTTTTTCCTGCAGATTAGTGAAGCAATTCATATTCACCCAGTTCTGTGCATTAAACCCCTGTGAGCACAGTGACATCCCCTATGCAGACTTTGTGCCACTGCCCCGCCCCCTGCTTCCTTGTTAGACTCCAATCAGCACACTAGTGACACCCAGAACTGCCCCTTCCTGTACTAAACCTTATTCCAACACTTGGACCCATCGGGAGCTACGTGCAAAGCCAGATGTAATCTTACAGCTGTTGTGTGGAAAATATGAAGGAAGATTTCAGGCTGAATCACAAATCAACTTTATATGTACAGATCAGGGGCGGACTGACAAATCATGGGGCCCCCGGGCAATAGGGGATCATGGGGCCCCTGTGTCCTTGCCCAAACTCAAAAAAGCCTATGAAAAAGGTACCAGAGGCATCTCATGGGGCCCCCTACTGACCCCAGGCCCTCGGGCAGTGCCAAATGGTCAGTCCGCCCCTGGTACAGATACCAAAAAAATATAGATAGGAGAGATAGATAATGGAAGGAGCGGAGTCCTCAGCAGCAGCAGAGTGTTTCAGGAGAGGAGAGTTACAGAGGAAGGAGCGGAGTCCTCCGGCAGCGCAGAGTGTTTCAGGAGAGGAGAGTTACAGAGGAAGGAGCGGAGTCCTCCGGCAGAGCAGAGTATTTCAGGAGCAGGGCCTGACTGACCATTTGGAAACTCGGGCACTGCCCGAAGGCCCCTTGGGGTCAGTAGGGGGCCCCATGAGATGCCCCTGGTACCTTTTTCATAGGCTTTTTTTTTAAGGGCAAGGACACAGGGGCCCCATGATCCCCTATTGCCCAGGGGCCCCATGAGTTGTCAGTCCGCCCCCCCTGTTCAGGAGAGGAGAGTTATAGAGGAAGGAGCGGAGTCCTCCAGCAGAGCAGAGTATTTCAGGAGAGGAGAGTTATAGAGGAAGGAGCAGATCCTCCAGCAGCGCAGAGTATTTCAGGAGAGGAGAGTTATAGAGGAAGGAGCGGAGTCCTCCGGCAGAGCAGAGTATTTCAGGAGAGGAGAGTTATAGAGGAAGGAGCGGAGTCCTCCAGCAGCGCAGAGGTATTTCAGGAGAGGAGAGTTATAGAGGAAGGAGCAGATCCTCCAGCAGCGCAGAGTATTTCAGGAGAGGAGAGTTATAGAGGAAGGAGTGGAGTCCTCCGGCAGAGCAGAGTATTTCAGGAGAGGAGAGTTATAGAGGAAGGAGCGGAGTCCTCCAGCAGAGCAGAGTATTTCAGGAGAGGAGTTATAGAGGAAGGAGCGGAGTCCTCCAGCAGAGCAGGTATTTCAGGAGAGGAGAGTTATAGAGGAAGGGGCGGAGTCCTCCAGCAGAGCAGAGTATTTCAGGAGAGGAGAGTTATAGAGGAAGGGGCGGAGTCCTCCAGCAGTGCAGAGTATTTCAGGAGAGGAGAGTTATAGAGAAGGGGCGGAGAGTTCCAGCAGAGCAGGTATTTTTCAGGAGAGGAGAGTTTATAGAGGAAGGAGCGGAGTCCTCCAGCAGAGCAGAGTATTTCAGGAGAGGAGAGTTATAGAGGAAGGGCAGAGTCCTCCAGCAGAGCAGAGTATTTCAGGAGAGGAGAGTTAGGTCACTGACAGGTATAATGTAGATTGCCATGTAAGGGGATCTTAACATTGTGACTGCAGCCAAATGACAAACCCAGACCTTTAACCTTTAGCATTTCTTTTTTAGGGACTGAAGCCGATGGATTTCAATGGCCTGGCAGACCCCTATGTGAAGATTCACCTTCTTCCTGGAGCATGCAAGGTACAGAAGAAGTCATATTCTCACTTTGTCTAATGTGATGCCCTATCCCCTGCCTGTCCCTGAAAGGTGTAATATTTCACAGGTACTTCCCCACATGGCCTCCTGGACTCCTCACCCTTCTCTGCTCTCTGATCACTATGGATATCCTCCACCATTAGAAAGCATGCCCAATGCTGCATCTGACCTTCCCGCATCACTTGCAGAAGTTCCCTCCCAAAAACCAAACCCCCAGAACCAACCCAAGAGGTCCAGTTATCATTTAGGGCATATTCATGCACAGACATGGATTCTCCCCTAAATTTTCTTCCAATCACCTACACCTGTAAAGAGTATTGGTCTTCTGTTGATAAAGACTAACTCCAACACATCCATATCATAGCAAGCCCCCCCATCCCCCCACCCTGCACTCTGTGGCCATAATGGCCTCCACTCTTCTGGGCAGGCTTTCCTCAAGATTTTGGAGTCTGTCTGTGGGAATTTGTGCACATTCATCAAAAAGAACATTTTCGAGGTCAGGTACTGATGTTGGATGAGAAGACCTGGATCATAACTGGCATTCCAGTTCATCCCAAAAATGTTCAGTAGGGTTGAGGTCAGGGTTCTTGAGGCCACTTGAGATCCTTCACACCTCCTCCACACCAAACCTATTAAACCATGTCTTTATGAAGTTGGCTTTGTACCAGGGCACAACCATGCTGGAACAGATCATAACTAGCATTCCAGCTCATCCCAAAGATGTTCAGTAGGTTTGAGGTCAGGGTTCTTGAGGCCACTTGAGATCCTTCACACCTCCTCCACACCAAACCTATTAAACCATGTCTTTATGGAGTTGGCTTTGTACACAGGGCACAACCATGCTGGAACAGATCATAACTAGCATTACCAGTTCATCCCAAAGATGCTCAGTAGGGTTGAGGTCAGGGTTCTTGAGGCCACTTGAGATCCTTCACACCTCCTCCACACCCAAACCTATTAAACCATGTCTTTATGGAGTTGGCTTTGTACCAGGGCACAACCATGCTGAAAAAGATCATAACTGGCATTCCAGTTCATCCCAAAGATGTTCAGTAGGTTTGAGGTCAGGATTCTTGAGGCCACTTGAGATCCTTCACACCTCCTCCACACCAAACCTATTAAACCATGTCTTTATGGAGTTGGCTTTGTACACAGGGCACAACCATGCTGGAAAAGATCATAACTGGCATTCCAGTTCATCCCAAAGATGTACAGTAGGTTTGAGGTCAGGGCTCTTGAGGCCACTTGAGATCCTTCACACCTCTTTCCACACCAAACCTATTAAACCATGTCTTTATGGAGTTGGCTTTGTACACGGGACACAACCATGCTGGAACAGATCATAACTGGCATTCCAGTTCATCCTAAAGATGTTCAGTGGGGTTGAGGTCAGGGCTCTTGAGGCCACCTGAGATCCTTCACACCTCCTCCACACCAAACCTATTAAACCATGTCTTTATGGAGTTGGCTTTGTACACAGGGCACAACCATGCTGAAAAAGATCATAACTGGCATTCCAGTTCATCCCAAAGATGTTCAGTAGGGTTGAGGTCAGGGTTCTTGAGGCCACTTGAGATCCTTCGCACCTCCTCCACACCAAACCTATTAAACCATGTCTTTATGGAGTTGGCTTTGTACACAGGGCACAACCATGCTGGAAAATAGATCATAACTGGCATTCCAGTTCATCCCAAAGATGTTCAGTAGGGTTTGAGGTCAGGGTTCTTTGAGGCCACTTGAGATCCTTCACACCTCCTCCACACCAAACCTATTAAACCATGTCTTTATGGAGTTGGCTTTGTACACAGGGCACAACCATGCTGGAACAGATCATAACTGGCATTCCATTCATCCCAAAGATGCTCAGTAGGGTTGAGGTCAGGGTTCTTGAGGCCACTTGAGATCCTTCGCACCTCCTCCACACCAAACCTATTAAACCATGTCTTTATGGAGTTGGCTTTGTACACAGGGCACAACCATGCTGGAACAGATCATAACTGGCATTCAGTTCATCCCAAAGATGTTCAGTAGGTTTGAGGTCAGGGCTTGAGGCCACTTGAGATCCTTCACACCTCCTCCACACCAAACCTATTAAACCATGTCTTTATGGAGTTGGCTTTGTACACAGGGCACAACCATGCTGGAACAGATCATAACTGGCATTCCAGTTCATCCCAAAGATGCTCAGTAGGGTTGAGGTCAGGGTTCTTGAGGCCACTTGAGATCCTTCGCACCTCCTCCACACCAAACCTATTAAACCATGTCTTTATGGAGTTGGCTTTGTACACAGGGCACAACCATGCTGGAACAGATCATAACTGGCATTCCAGTTCATCCCAAAGATGTTCAGTAGGTTTGAGGTCAGGGCTCTTGAGGCCACTTGAGATCCTTCACACCTCCTCCACACCAAACCTATTAAACCATGTCTTTATGAATTTGCTTTGTACACAGGGAACAACCATGCTGAAACAGAAAATAGCCTTCTCCAAACTAATACCACAAGGTTGGAAAAGCACAGTATCTTTGGGAATTTGTGCCCATTTGTGAGGTCAGATACTGATGTTGAATGAGAAGACCTGGCTTGTAATTGGAGTTCCAATTCATAGGTGTTCAGTAGAGTTGAGGCCAGGGCTTTCTGCAGGACACACAAGCTCCTCCACACCAAACTCATCAAACCATGTCTTTATGGAGCTGACTTTGTACACGTTGGTATACTCATGCTGGAACAGATAAGGGCCTTCACCAAACTGTTACCATAAAGTCGGAAGAGCACAATTGTTTGCAATGTCTTTGTTTCCTGTAGCATTAACTGTGCCCTTCACTAGAAACACCATAACCCCATCATTTGGAGGAGGGCCGCATATATTTTGCGTATAAAGCTGTTGAGCATCCGAACATCTTTCTTCTCGGTATACTCACCCTTCTTGAATATGGAATAGCAAATCTTCATACAAGCCATCAGGTCCAATTGCAGGATATCAGGTGCGATTCTGTAATGATGCCACCTCTCTCTGTGCCCAAAAGACTCATTATACGTCCACTTCTCATGCCGCGTGTGATCTGCACCTCGGGCCCAGTGTGACATGACGCCTGGCTGTGTGTCAGGCAGGATATATTAACGGAACGCCTGGGGTGCAGCCAGGAAAAATCAATCACATGGCTAGCTTCAAAGGCCGTCATTAATAAATTACATTTTCAGAAATTGCCTCGGTTCTTAGAGTGTAAATATGTAACAGTTTCAGGCATACTAATAAGATAAAAAAAAGGTCAGATCTAGGCACACCGCCGTGCTTGGATTCAGCTGCACCAAAAGCGGCGGGAGAGCAAGCTGATGGTGATTATGAGCAGCCGGGGCAGCAGCCAACTAAGTGGACCTGTTGATTCACATGGGAAAAAAAACAGTTACAGTTTACCCACTTCAAGTCAGGACACTTTCACCCCCTTCCTGTCCGGACACTTTTACCAGCTTCCAGTCCGGACACTTTCCCCCCCTTCCAGTCCAGTTTCCCCCCCCCTTCCAGGACACTTTTACCCCCTTCCAGTCCGGACACTTTCCCCCCCCCCCTTCCAGTCCGGACACTTTTAGACACTTTTACCCCCTTCCAGTCCGGACACTTTCCCCCCCCCCCTTCCAGTCCGGACACTTTTAGTCCGGACACTTCCAGTCCGGACACTTTCACCCCCTTCCAGTCCTGACACTTTCACCCCCTTCCAGTCCGGACACTTTCCCCCCCTTCCAGTCCGGACACTTTTACCACCTTCCAGTCCGGACACTTTCCCCCCCTTCCAGTCCGGACACTTTCCCCCACTTCCAGTCCGGACACTTTCCCCCCCTTCCAGTCGGACACTTTCACCCCCTTCCAGTCCGGACACTTTCCCCCCTTCCAGTCCGGACACTTTTACCACCTTCCAGTCCGGACACTTTCCCCCCCTTCCAGTCCAGACACTTTCACCCCCTTCCAGTCTGGACACTTCCCCCCCCCCTTCCAGTCCGGACACTTTAACCCCCTTCCTGTCTGGACACTTTCACCCCCTTCCTGTCCAGGCCAATTTTCAGCTTTCAGCGCTATCACACTTTGAATGACAATTGCGCGGTCATGCAACACTGTACCCACATGAATATTTTAGCATTTTTCTTAGACAGATAGAGCTTTTTTTTGGTGGTATTTATTCACCACTGGGATTTTTTTTTTTTTTTTTGCTATATAAATATAAAAGTCCAAACATTTTGAAAAAAGTGTTTTTCTTATAAAATTTTGCAAATAAATAATATTTCATCATAAATCTTGGCCAAAATTTATTCCGTTATCTTTTCAGTACAAAAAAAAATAACCCAAATTAGTTTATAACCAAAAATTATAATTTTTATAAAAACATTTTTACATTTTTATTTTATTTTTTTATGATCATGAAGCCGGAATTCTGCAGATTATATTTTATGTATCACTATTTAAAATCACAGGCATTCCGGTGCCACTCAAAAGCCTTTTCCAGGTCGCATGGGTGCAATTCATTTTTAATGGTACCCCCCCCATGCATTTATCAAACATGCACATTCACAACCACAGTACCATGCGATTTAGAAATCATGCCGGCACTCTTTTTTTTGCACATTTCACAATGATAGGGGAAATTAAGCCCAAAGAAACGTGCATTGAAATTAAGACATGTTCTGCTTTAAAAGACGCAAAGAAACGTGCACACTCACATGCACTTCCTGGTGTGAATGAGCCCTTACTGAGTTACATGTTCAGCAACTCCAATAAGGGTAGCTCTAAATTCAGGGCATCGCCCAGGACACAGCGTCATTGGAGCTGAGGTCCAAGATGCGGGACTGTCCTGGCAAATCCGGGACAATTGGCATCAATGATTTAGACACCCAACACAAACTCTGTAACAGGACAGTGAAGGTAAGCCATAGGAAACTAGAGGTTCTTAGTGCAAAGGGTGACTGTGTAAATTCAGGACATGGCCCAAGCCACAGT